CATAGTTTACACCGATCACACCTCAACTTCATCTTGGATTACATTAAGAGATAAGGAAGGCCAAAGAAAAACTGTTGAGTTTAAAACATAAAATAAAATCTTTTTTTTTCCCACCTCTCTTTTGAGCATTTTTGGTCCAGGACTAAATAAACCTCACCCTCTCTCAATGATGATGTAGCGGAGTCGATCACTGCTGTAGCGCGACGGTGTGGCCCAGCACATATTCACTATAAGGATGAGCTGGTTTTCATCCGCTCCTTCCACAAAGACGCCTACGTACAGGATGTCTCGAGTGCTGAGCACCACCTCCCCCTCTCTGTATGGATGGCGGTACGAGGAGTTTTTATACAGAGCCATCTTGGTAATGAAGTTTCCTTCCTGGGTCGGTAGGGTGAGGTTAATGACGCTGGAGAAAAAAGGAAAAAGAAATGACTATCCAAGCGGTCAGCCGTTGTGCCGCACTCGTTGGTGCATATTTGTGTTTTGCTGCCTGACCTGAGCATGGGTTTGAGGACAGTCTCCAGTGAGATCTTTAGGTCCAGCTCATAGGCGCAGGAAAACTCCACGTTGATGGTCTTGTCTCTGGTGATGATGTTCCCAGTGTTGTTCACACTTTCTATCCACACAGTGTTTTTATACATGATGTGTGTGCCGTTGGACTGTAAGAGAAATAAAGCGTAGGTGACTCATAATTTCAAATTTCTACATTAAAGGAACAAATATTCCTAGCTGCTGCTTTTGATTTCACCCATACAAAAAAATGTAAAACAGCATACAGACAGAAGACATCATAAAAACGAATCATTTAGTAATAATAATAATAATTAAATTATTAAATAATAATGTATTCACCAAAAACATTAGCCAGAATTAGCCAGAATTATGAGGATTTAAGAGCCAGGAGCTGCTAACGCACGTCTATAAAAGCAGAAAATTTGACAGTTTTCTGGTTTGCAACATTCAGGTGTGTTAATGCGATGGAGGAAAGACATCAGCGATAAATATAAAGAAGCAACATCAATCTGAGGAAGTTATAAGGCTCTGTTGATCACTTTAAAGTGAAAAAGATTATTCACATGAGGAACACATTCATGAGTTGCCAATCTTCCCACAAGTGGACATCAAATTTGGAGTGCATAACATCTTTTACACTGATGAGCAGGGGTAGCCAATCGAAGGGGCGGGTCTACCAAACAATTTTCAGCCAGTAGGAAGGAGGTAGGTTGTCTGTGCCAGTGCCACCTAGCCAGCCAGCGAGCAGTGACAAAATTATTCATTGGCACGTGTTGTGGCAGTTTCAGTTAAAATGCTGCAAATGTCGCTTCCAAGATAGTGTAGACCAGGGGTCTGAAACTCCAGTCCTCGAGGGTCAGTGTCCTGAAACTTTTCCATGTGTCCCTGGTGCAACACACCTGAATAAAATTAGTAGGTCATTACCAAGAATATAGAACTTAACTGCATGCTGGAATGTCAACCCCTAACCCTAATCAACTAAATTTAAGTACCGTATTTTTCTGACCATAAGGCACACCGGATTATAAGGCGCATTAAGTGAAACTAAACAGTCAGATAATCAAACTTTACTCAACTCATTCTTCTTGCTTCCTCCATTTCCGTACCATTGATTCATTAATGTTGAATTCTCTCACAGCTGCTCTATTCCCTGTTGTTGCAATATATTAATGACCAACCTCGTATTGTGGATGGATTATCTCAGTTGTTCTCCTGACTGAGGTTTGGTCTGTTTACAGCATCCTGCCATGTGATTGCATTTGTTCCTAACCATCGGGAACCCTTGTTAACTTTTATCGAGTGGAAAAAGTTAGCATTCATCCTCTAGCTTCACTGTGTTTATATTATGCTAACATAGCTGACATAGTGTTGCTAGCCACCATGTAGCAACCCTACAAAAGTCACAGCTGTTTAGTTTTGTGTCTTCATTTAAGTTGGAAGTGATAGCAGAGCTGTACGTTTGCATTTTTTTTTTAGAAATCTCTCAGTCAGAACATGCTATATTATGTTTAGGTGGAAACTAGCGAGCTAACTTCATGCTAACTTCTAACTCCGTTAAATTTAATACATTCTGTTTTCATGGGTGCCTGGAT